AATGAAGGATGAAGGATGAAGGATGAAGGATGGGTAAATATTTCAGATTTGTATTTTTCTGGAAACTTTTTGGGGGATACAAGTCCAGGTCAGAGGGACAGGGTTCTAAAGATCAAGACCATTAAAATAAATATTCTGTTCAGTAACCTCCCCCCCCCACGGCAAGCTATTGTACCCCAATATATAATTATAATATGTTTTGTAGCAAATACCTACTCCATAACAATTTACTCGAGAAGTATCTATCCAGGTCTACTCGTTAACAAGTTTAACCAGGACTTTCTATTCAGATTCTTAAGGGCACACAGTCCAAATCTCAACCAGGCTTAACTCCCCGGTTCTCAAGGACACACAGTCCAAATCTCAACCAGACTTAGCTCCCTGGTACTTTCTAAAGGCCACTCAGGCAATATTTCAACCAGGCCTTACTCCCCAGTTCTAAAGGACACAAAGTCCAAATCTCAACCAGGCTTAGCTCCCTGGTTCTAAAGACCACTCAGGCAATATCTCAACCAGGCTTAACTCCTCAGTTCTAACGGACACACAGTCCAAATCTCAACCAGACCTAACTCCCCAGTTCTAAAGGACTCACAGCCCAAATCTCAACCAGGCTTAACTCCCCAGTTCTAAAGGACACACAGTCCAAATCTCAACCAGGCTTACTTCCTGGTTCCAAAGGACACACAGTCCAAATTTTAACCTGGCTGCGATCCCAAGTTCTAAAGGACACACAGTCCAATGAAATTGCTACACAGGAAATTTCTTAACTCATAAATTTCAACAAGTACCAAAGCTTTTTTTCAATCATACTTAGGCTTCTGATATCGAAATCAAAAGCAGAGTCTCATTCAACTAACTTTATATAATAGCTTAGGTTACAAAGTTAACAGAAATTGACGTAATTAAATTCCTACGATGTTATTGATATCACATGATTAAGACCATCGTATTACGTATTTATAGCATAGTTAAAGTTTAAGGTACGTGTTTAAAGGATTAAAGAGAATAGATATAACGCAGTTAATCTTCTCTGCCCGTATTCCATACCGTAATTTAAGTATGTCGCATGATTTGAGCTAATCATGTTAAGTATTCAAATGAAACGCAGTTCCAATGAATAATCTCATTTTGTCTAAGTTTAAGTTTTCAGAATATCATGTTTACCCTCTTTTTGCTACATATATATATATATATATATCATTTTCCCCTCCCTAGCATATATGTTTTTTTTTATCACAATTGTTATATTAAAATATGAGTACAAACAAATTAAGCACCATCAAACCTTTAAAAAATAATTTTAGAAATTAGAATTAAAATTAAAACCAAATCTATGCCACATTACTGGTATTACTTTCTGACCTCCTAGCTTCTCTATATTTGATTGAAGTTTAGGTGAATTTATTTGAAAATTTTGAACTTTTTTGTTCTTCTCAATGTTACTTAAATAATAGGAGTTATAATTCAAAACATGGAAACAAGTTTTTTTTACTTGACTTGATAAACATGCATTGCTTGGTTCAAAAACAATATTCCTTAAATATTTGGCAATATTTATATCAGAGTTGTTAAAATATTGAGTACAAGGAGGAAACCAGATTTCTAATCTTTAATCTTACCCTATAGTTACCAGGCCCCATTTCATATATTTCTCCCTCCCTCCCTCCCCACACCTGCATTCTATGGTAATTCTTCTGTTTTTTCTTTCTGGTAATTAGTTCTCAACTGTCTGGTAGTCCCTCTCTTTCTGGTAATTAGTTCCCAACTGTTTGGTAGTCCCTCTCTTTCTGGTAATTAGTTCTCAACTGTCTGGTAGACCCTCTCTTTCTGGTAATTAGTTCCCATCTGTCTGGTAGTTCCTCTCTTTCTGATAATTAGTTCCCAACTGTCTGGTAGTCCCTCTCTTTCTGGTAATTAGTTCCCAACTGTCTGGTAGTCCCTCTCTTTCTGCTTCCTGTTCCTCTTTTTCATCTTAGTCTCTCTCCCTATCAGATTTCTTAAGATTTCTTTTCAGTATAGAATAAATACGATGTCTGTTCCAGCTAATTTGATAAAAAGATAATGAATAATCATTCATGTTTTTGTTTTTAAAATCCAACAGTAAATTACAGAAAAGTCAAATACACTCTTTAATCCTTATGTATTGTCGCTTTTATTATTTTTTAGTTGATCTACAGTTTGGCAAGCAATATGTGATAAACATACAAAATTAATAATAAATAATAATGATAATGATAATGATAATAATAATAAAAATAATAATAATAATAATAATAGTAATAATAATAATAANGGTTGTCTTCAAAGAGCTTGAGGGGCTTTCGAGCTTTTACTTATCTAAGGCAATAAGTACCCAAAAAAATAAATCAAGTATTAGGATATACATAATACTTGATGTATAATGATTTTAACACAATAAAATACTAAGTATTTAGATATATATACGTTTTAAGTAACATCAATTTTACTTCAAAACATTTCACAGAGCCTCCCCTCTATTTTCCCCCCAACATCAATTATTTGGATACACTGTATTTTCTGTAAATTATGTTATTTATTTACAATTTTTCAATTTGAGTTGTTAAGTTTTTTGCTTTGTCTAAAATCCTAATATAGAGCTATGTACAGTCCAATATGCATGGTGGATACCCTGTATTCCCTGTAAATAGAATTCGCCGTTTATTTTCTCCCGAAATAAATAAATCTGGGAAATTTTCTTGCAATTTACCGTTAAACAGTTTGCGAATAGGATGACATATAAATGTATATTATTTTTTTTATTGCAGTTATAGCTGCAGTATTGCTAGTGATGGAGATTCAGTACCTAGTTCTCCCCTCTCCTTAGATATGCAGGATGGTAAGTTTTTTTTCTTCAAAAAGTCCCGAAAATATCAAAATTTGATTCGTTGTTAACCGTATGTATTCTTACAGAGGTTGATTAATGATTGTTTTCCTTAATCAAAGAAACTCAGATTTTGCCAAAAAGAAAAAATAGTTTTTATCTATTTGTTATGTCAAACTTAAACGATACGATTTCATATTTTGTGAAATATAAAGTCTACACCATCAGGTTGCAAATATACAGGGAGAACACAATTAAGTTTATGGTAAAATCTCAGTTCCTTTATCTTACATTAGCTTTGTCTGGAGATGAAAACAACCTTTAAACCAAGCTATAACGAAATTGGGGTTCAAGGGTTTCGACAGCAATTTGGGAATCGCTATATAATCTTTAAAAAAATTCAAAAAAATTACCTTAGGCTTTGGTTTAAACAGCCTTTCCTCTCCTCAATTTCAATGACTCCCCGTAATGACAAAACTGGTTTTTAAGAAGATGAACAGAGAAAAACTGTTTTAGCATAGGTTCAACGAAAACATGGGATTCCCTCTGCACTGCATGGTCCGAAATATTTGTAAAGTGACCATTTTAAGCTGATACGCTCTTTATAAGCATCTAATAAATCACGTAATCTTTTCATTTTTTTCAGATTTTTTTCAAAAAACATGATATTAAGAATAAATATCTTTTATTCTGGATGAATAAAATGTTAAAAATAAAAAAGAAAAATGTTAAAATGTAGAACTGGTATAAAAATGTAGTATTGATATGAATATGTAGAATTGATTTCAAAATTTAGTATTGATATGAAAATGTAGAATTGATATGAAAATGAAGAATTGACATGAAAATGTAGGATTGATATGAAAATGTAGGATTAATATGAAAATGTAGAATTGATATGAAAATGTAGTATTGATATGAAAATGTAGGATTGATGTGAAAATTTAGAATTGATTCATATCAAATGTAGAATTGATATGAAAATGTAGAATTGATATGAAAATGTAGGATTAATATGATAATGTAGTATTGAAATGAAAATGTAGAATTGATATGAAAATGTAGGATTAAAATTAATATGAACATGTAGGATTGATATGAAAATGTAGTATTAATATGAAAATGTAAAATTGATATGAAAATGTAAAATTAATATAAACATGTAGTATTGATATGAAAATGTAGTATTAATATGAAAATGTAAAATTGATATGAAAATGTAGGATTAAAAACTAATAGTTGTTATTATCTCTACAACGTCATGCTGTATAGTGCACGCGGTTACGCTTAAAAATCTCAATATNCCCTCCCCCCATGAAGTCCATGGTCTAATCCCACCCCTGGTTTCCCTGCCCCTCCCTCTCTGAAGTCCATGGTCCAAACAAACCCCTTGTTTTCCTGCCCCCCTACCCCCTTGAATTTTATGGTCCAATCCCAACCCTGATTTCCCCGGTACGGGCCCCTTCCTGGTTCCCTTTCCCCCCCTGAATTCCCCTGATTACGACGCAATGCAGAAACGTGATCGTGTTCAACACTTTTAATCCAGAATCTGGAGTATATTATGTAAAAACTGAATTTAAGTTCCGTTTTTAATCTTAACAAGACGTGATTCTATACTTAAGTTTAGTTTATCTTAATAAACTGTATACTCAAGGAGCTGGGGGAGCGGGAAGCCAAACTAATCTCAGTGAAACAAACCAAATACACATTTAAGGGGGGTAGCCGGGGGATTTGCCATTGAAAGTGAAAAAAAATTATATTAAGAATAAATATTTTTTAATCTGGATGAATAAAATGCTAAAAATGAAAAAAGAAAAATGTTGAAATGTAAAACTGGTATAAAATTGTAGAAATGATATGAAAATGTAGTATTGAAATGAAAATGTAGGATTGACATGAAAATGCAGTATTGATATGAAAATATAGAATTGATATGAAAATGTAGAATTGATATGAAAATGTAGGATTGATATGAAAATGTAGGATTGATATGAAAATATAGGATTAATATGAAAATGTAGAATTGATATGAAAATGTAGAATTGATATGAAAATGTAGGATTAATATGAAAATGTAGAATTGATATGAAAATGTAGTATTGATATGAAAATGTAGGATTGATTTGAAAATGTAGAATTGATATGAAAATGTAGAATTGATATGAAAATGTAGGATTAATATGAAAATGTGAAATTAATATGAACATGTAGGATTGATATGAAAATGTAGTATTAATATGAAAATGTAAAATTAATATGAAAATGAAAAATTTATATGAAAATGTAAAATTGATATGAAAATGTAGGATTAATATGAAAATGTAGTATTAATATGAAAATGTAGAATTGATATGAAAATGTAGTATTGATATGAAAATGTAGTATTAATATGAAAATGTAAAATTAATATGAAAATGTAGGATTAAAAACTAATAGTTGTTATTATCTCTACAACGTCATGCTAAGAGGTATAGTGCACGCGGTTACGCTTAAAAATCTCAATATAAACCTATCCGACCTTTTAACCTGGATTAAGTGGAAGATAAACCTTGAAAACTTGTACTTTCAAAAGAATGAGTCGAGACGGGATTTTGCATCAGAATAATTTCCATAACAGGCCCAGTACAGTTTTTGGGATAGAAGACCCAGTTTAGAGTTTTTCAAGCAAGAAATCATATGCCCGCGGGCAAAATAAAACAAATCGTGTTTATTGGTCAGTGGTCATGAGTTAAACAAAATTTGAATTCATAAGCCGCATTCATTCAATTGGATTATTTGTGTGCACATTTATTAATTTATTCATCCATGCATTCTTTCATCCTATCATTCAAGTTGATAATTCAACAATAGTATTTTCATTTACACACTTCATTTCTTTTTTTAAACATTGCTCCCCCCCCCCTCTTTTTGTTTTAGCCATACACAACCATTCTTAGCCATACACAACCATTCATAGGCATACACAACCATTCATAGCCAAACACAACCACTCATAGCCATGCACAACCATTCATAGCTATACACAACCATTCAAAGCCATACACAACCATTCAAAGCCATACACAACCATTCATAGCCATAAACAACCATTCTTAGCCATATACAACCATTCATAGCCATACGCACCCACTCATAGCCATACGCAGCCATTCTTAGCCATATACAACCATTCATAGCCATACACAACCATTCATAGCCATATACAACCATTTATAGCAATACACAACCATTCATAGCTAAATTCAACCATTCGTAGTCATACACAACCATTCATAGCCATACACAACCTTTCATAGCCATACACAACCATTCATAACCATACACAACCATTCTTAGCCATATACAACCATTCATAGCCATACACAACCATTCATAGCCATATACAACCATTCATAGCCATAAACAACCATTCATAGCCATACACAACCATTTATAGCCATACACAACCATTGATAGCCATATATCACAACCATTCGTAGCCATACACAACCATTCATAGCCATACACAACCATTGATAGCCATATACAACCATTCATAGCCATAAACAACCATTCATAGCCATACACAACCATTTATAGCCATACACAACCATTCATAGCCATAAACAATTATTCATAGCCATATACAACCATTCATAGCTATATACAACCATTCATAGCCATATAAAACCATTCATAGCCATATACAACCATTCATAGCTATATACAACCATTCATAGCCATACACAACCATTCACAGCATGTGAAATATCAAATTTTAAAATGGTTCTAAGAATGTACTTAATCTTATCTATATAAATGGTTAACATTCCTTAAAAAATCTTCTGAAGCTTGATGCATTTTTATCAAATGCCAGATCCATTCCAACAATCCAACCTCTAATGTTTGGGTTTTTGACAAAGAGAATAGAATATATATTAGAGGGGAATTTACTAGAAAAAAGTTTAAAACGGTCATTTTGTTGTACTGTTTCCATACTGCAGGTGTACTTCACATATTTATGCTATATAACCTTTTGGGCCCTGGAATATCATTTTATAGAAAATTTTAAATTAATTTTAAAAGAAAACCAAATTATGAAATAGGCTCGTTTCATAATTGACCAATGATCATTTCACAAAGACTCTATGCCTTTCACTTTACAAACGATGATTTTCCGTTATAACTATAAATCAAATGATGGTTTTTATTCACCTAATTCATTATAAAGTTTATTTAACAGCTTTAAAAATTTCGAAATTGAAATTGGATATTCTAGTGAACATACTGTATTAATGTACTCTACTGCACATAATTTGTGAACATTTGTACACTTTGAGATTCCTTTCAGGCTGAAAGGGACTGAAAAAATTCATACCGAGAGATTCTTTAAATTCCTCTCTAATATATATTCTATTCTCTATGGTTTTTGAACTACAAATAAAACCAATAATAAAATAATAAAACTCTTCCTTACTGTGGATGACCTGTTGACATATACAGAGTGTCCCATATCATATTAAATTATCTCCAAGCTTTAATGCCAAAATAAACATATAATATTCGAAAAACATAGCATTTCCTACAAGAAAATTTATTCTTCTTAAACTTTCTGATTAGTCCCGGAAATTGTAATTTAGAGCCTTTGACGATCTAATATGATATGGGACACCCTGTATGTGTTGTAATAGAAGTTATGCAGTACGTACAATTCACAGTCTTTGGCGCTGAACGTTTTAAGGTTTGAAAGTACAGTTCTTTACAAACAAAGACGACTTTTTAATTTTATTTCAGTATTTACTCGATCTTATGGGAATTATTTTTTCTCGTTGGTGGTTTCACCGAATTTTTATTTTTAACTATTTTGTGAAAAGTTCTGAAATATTTATAACCTAATGAACAACAGATTGAAACTGATTAAATGTAGTGACATGAAAATCTCATTTACCAAACACTTAACTCATTACTGCACTAATTGCTTTATTATATAGGTGGAAATTATTTAAACGGATAATACAGTGATTCTATTGATATTGATCAATTAGTTGAATGGGTTGAATTTTCTTTTTGATCAATTGAAAATATAGATTGATTAATCAATTTTCTATGTTGATCGATTGGGTTGACTGATCACCCGGTTGGTTAATTGGATGATAAAGAAATGATGAAGTGATTGCTCAATTGATTTTTAAAGAATGGATTGATTAGTTGATTTCTCGAATTGATTGATTAATTAATGTTTCGAATTTATTGATTAATTAATGTTTCGAATGGATTGATAAATTGATTTCTCGAATGGATCGATTATTTGATTTCTCGAATGGATCGATTAATTGATTTCTCGAATGGGTTGATTAAATATTTGTTTTCTAGATATGGAGAGTGAGTGTTTCCCTTGTATACCTTTAAACCGGGCTAATCAGCAGGCAGGAGGAAGAAAGGTAAGGGGGCATTCAAGGGGGCAGGACATTCTGAAGGGGAAAGGATAACGGGTTGGTGTTTAAAAGGGTATTAAATTGATTCAAGGTTGCATCCATATTTCAAAACATTATTCTTTTCAGGAACCTGATCAGGATGTTTTTATTAAAAGTGAACCCTCCTCTCCTCCTCCATCCTTTTCCAGACCCTATATATCCTCCATCTCTACAACCCTCTCCACCTCTCCAACCTTCTCCTCCATTATTAAACTGGAGCCGGAGTCTGGATTTCAGGTAAACGAGATTTAACCGTCAGATAAAGAGCAATAAAAAATAGCGTGGATTACATAAGAGGGGTCATTTCAGGTTCTTGTGTAAAGTTTACATTTACGAAAGTACAGGCTAGACGATAATTTTTAAAATCTAAACAATTGTTGTTTTTGTTCTGTGAATATCCGTTTTCACAATCTCCAGGGGCCTCTTCCATATAAGGCTGGTAAGGTGCTCGCCCCTTCCTCTCCATTTTCCCTAATTACGCCTCTGGGTCTTTTGGTTTAATAACCTGAGTTTGAACTCTAAAGTATTTGTATAGAATAAACCCATGTCTGGGTATCATGATTGCACCGTTGCACATCAACTCATTATTTCTTCTTATCTCTTTCTCCTACATGTATAGCTGTTAAATTAAAAACCTTTTAACATTTTATTAAATTAGGCATTTTGTCAGACTTAATCTGAAAATTGTTAAATGATTAAATAATTATTATAATTTAACAATTAGAATATTTAGTGACTAGGATCACAGGTGTCATTTTTATATTCTTATCAGCTGTTTGCGATGTAGTAGAAACAGCTTTTTTATCATTCATCGATTGTTATCTTTTTTTATCTTATCATAACTTTTTTTGTCGTCAGAAACATTTTCAATGTCATTTCTAATTTGTTATTAAGAATCTTGAAGCGGTAAATTTTATATTACTTATGAAACCGAAAAGAAAATATGTTTAAAGGGACAGACCGGCTATGTAAGGTATTTGATCTGGGTATGCAATTTTGTGGACAAATTGTTTAGGATTCATATGAGACATAGAATTTTTAAAGATTTATAAATCCTCAGTTTGAGCGCAAAGTCGACGTTCAAAATCGTACTTTTGGGTTTTTCAGAATTGTTTTTTTTTTCAATTATCAAATAACGACGACAAAAAATGTAAACAAAATTTTACAGTAAACTAATTAGTTGTTTAGGAACAGGCTCAGAAAATAAAAATTAATCTTATCATCGAAAATAAGTAATCTCATTCAATCATTAGTTTCTATAAGTCTATCATGATTCACAAAGATTTTTTTTGCAGATTTTCTGGATTTTTTATTGAAAAGACGACATTTGATGAATTTGTAGAAATCTGCAAATAAATTCATAGAAAATTAGAAATTTATTATAATGACGAAAACGAAATAACTGATTCTAGCATTGATTTATTGACAGAGATATATGTTTCTAACCATCTAATTAGTTTACTGTATAATTTTTACTTTATTTTTCGTCGTCGTTATTTAATAATTTTAAATAACCGATTCTGAAAACGTACCCACACAAAATCATGATTTTGAACGTCGACTATGCACTCAAACTCAGTAATTATACATCGTGGAAATGTTAAATATGTCTCAAATGAATCATAAAGAATTTGTCCACAACACTGCATACTCAGTTTAACTACCTAACATACCCGGTCTGTCCCTTTAAAGGGAATTTGGCAGCCTTATTACAATGTTTTTCGTTCCAAAATAACAAAATTTTATATAAGTTTATAAAATAACCGGATTCTGGTTAGCATGTTATATATCCGGTTAGCAGGTTGTATATCCGGTTAGTAGGTTATATACATATATATATATATATATATATATATATATATATATATATATATATATATATATCCAGTTTTCAGTTTATATATCCGTTTATTAGGTTGTATATCATTTTAGCAGGTTATATATCCGTTTAATGGGTTATATATCCGTTTAATGGGTTATATATCCGGTTAATAGGTTATATATACGGGTAGCAGGTTGTTTATACGGTTAGCAGTTTTATATCCGGTTATATAGGTAATATATCCCTTTATCAAGATGTATATACAGTTAGCTGGCTATGTATCCGGTTAGTGAGTTGTATATCCGGTTAGCTGGTTTTGTATTCAGTTTTCAGGTTGTAAATCCGGTTAGGAGGTTGAATATCCGTTTATTAGGTATATCCGGTCAGCCGGTTGTATAATATCCGGTTAGTATGCTATATGTCCATTTATCAGGTTGAATATCCGGTTAGTAGGTTGTATATCCGGTTAGCGAGTCTGAAACTCCTAAACTGCCTATTCAAGCATATTATTAGATCCTGCTTCAACGCGTTTAATGTTGTTTTCAACCTGTTTAATATGAGTGGGGTTCAGTTTCAAATTTCGAGATTAAAAACAGGATAATCAACACTTTTGTATACGATAACCTGACGAAAACCCTATATGAATGTTTAAAACATTGCCCGCGTCTAATCAGGCTTTTGCCCCGTTACCCCCCCCCCCCCCTCCAGCTTCTAACTGAACATGTATAATTAAATTCACCTGTTTTTAACCGAGTACTTTGTAAATTAGTAAAAATAGATCAATGAATTTTATGTCTTCGTTTCTCTATCAATATCTGCTTTAAAAACATGACAGATCAAAAAAATACACAAATTAGAATTATAAACTTCTTGTCAGATAAAAATCTTTTTTGTTTGTTTAGATAAAACAGGAGAATGGGTCGAATTTATCTAAACCTAATCAACTATCTCTTCTTAAACCTACTCCAATTACAACAAGGTAACCAAACCATACTACCTACCTACCTACCTACCTACCTACCTACCTCCCTACATACCTCCCTACATACCTACATACCTACCTACATACCTACCTACCTATATATCTACCTATATTTAGGATACTGTGTCCGAAGGTATCCATTAAGCTTGAAGATCCCTCTAGCAGCAGTTTAAACAGCTGTAATATAGCAGTCAGCAACAGCAATAGCAGCAACAGTGGGAGCAGTATGCTGGTCAGCAGACAGAGAATACTACCTGCTCTTCGTCACACCATCTCATCTCCTCTCATTTCTACACAGCTCAAGGGTTAGTTAGTTTATCTAAACAGAGGCATTGTTCGATTCACACTATGGTACTTTATAAAGGTTTTCTGGTCAAGAATGCATTAAATTTAAATTTTCTTCTCTTTTATGGATTAATTCATCGATATCATTTATGATGGATTAATTCATCGATATCATTTAACAGAAAGTAAATAGTAAATTTCCCACTTGTGGGTTTATGTTATTTCTCGATCCTTCACGCATTTCTGGTTTTCGTTTTATAGTTTGTAAGTCTGACATTAGAAATTATTCATAGTTTTAAGTTTTCCCCGTGTTTTTAATCTAAAATGTTTTTTTGCATTTTTTAGTTTTATTTCTGGAAAAAAATTTCAGCTTCTCCGTGTACTGCGCAATTACACGTTCTGATGACCTTGCAAAATAAAAATAAAAAAATTCTAAAAAATCTGGTGAACTTTGCTACTCACATTTAAGCCCACAATGAGATTTGAATTCAATTTCAGTGTATGTGAAATGTTCGCCACTTTCACTCTTTAAATGTGATTTTTAAGAGATTGTAGGCACATAAGGCGTAAACACATTATCAGCTTATCTTATATTTGCAAAATCTGAAAAATTTAAATTATTTTTGAATTTCTGCTATCTTTGCGTATTTGAAAAATATGTTCATCCCCACGTGTTAAAAATCCAAGTCAGCCATCTTTTTGTTTTGCAATGGCTGCCGCAAAAACAAGCAACTCAGAAATTCTTAATTTTTAAATTTTTGTTTAACCATAAAAATTGTTTGGAGGGAGTTTTAGTTATGTCCAAGTATACAAGTGATGTTGATGATTTTATTGCTTGTCATGCGACTACATAATAAATGTTTATATAAAATTTTATATCCTTAAATGCAAAAAATTCAATCGGGTTTTGAACACTAAAGAACCCAACAATTCAAAGATATTTGTATGATTCTTAGAAGCGTGCATTTTTGAAGGTACAGTAATTGCACTCTTGTGCACTGAGGATCACGACTAAGACCGATACTTCGCAGATAGTTCCTCCATTTTCATCATTTCACTTTCATCGTTTTTACGGTTATTTACCCCTTCCTAAAATATTTGCATAGAAATTCAAATTGCATAGAAAGTTTGCAGAGAAGTGTGAGTCGGCACATTTCCATGGAATATTTTCTATGTTCGCCTCTTATAAATCCATACAAAACTATCATTGTTAGATGTATGAAATAACAACCAAATTTAGGCGCTGCGGCCACATAACCAACTTTATCCATGTGTTAATATGAGATGCTCGAGTGTCGTTAACTATTTTTTTTTTGCTCATTTTAAATATTTTTTTGCTCGTATGAACTATTTTTTTTGGCTCATTTTAACTATTTTTTTGCTCGTATGAACTATTTTTTTTCTCATGCAGTGATAACTAGAAAACTATGGAATATAAAGACGACATTACAGTAATTCTGAAGTGCATTTTTAAGGCAAAAAGCTTTACTAGTAAGTTATTAAATCACTTATTAAGTGAAATGGGTCTGTTTACAATGCACAATTGCTGTGTCTCATGTTTATTCAAATATTTAAAGCCATAACTTGAGTTTAAAAGTCAACTTCCTATTCCAGAGTTTTTGGTTATCACTGTAGGAAACATTTGTTGGCCCATTTGAACTATTTTTTGATCATTTGAACTATTTATTTGCTCATTTGAACTATTTTTGGTTCATTTAAACTATTTTTTTGATCATTTGAACTATTTTTGGCTCATTTGAGCATTATTTTTTTTTGCAAAATTCGAACTATATTTCGGCTTATTTGAACTAGTTTTTAGTTCATTTTGAACTATTTTTATTAATAGTTCAAATGAGCAAAAAAGTAGTTCAAATACTCACAGAATGTTATCGTTTCAACTATTAGTCGTTTGAACTACTACACGTGGCACCAAGTGCAATGGTTCAAACAACCAATAGTTCAAAAATTCAATAGAAAAAACGACATGTAGCTTTAACTAAATAGCACCCAATTGTGTAGTGTACACAGATCTGTTTCACTTGGTTGATTTTTAAGTTATCAACTTTAAGTTTCCTTACATGTCGCCCTTCAAATATCTGTTATTATTTCAGGTAGTTCTGGAGTACTTTACCTGACCGAGGAGGAGAAGCGAACCCTAATCTCGGAAGGATATCCTATCCCTACAAAGCTTCCATTGTCCAAGGCAGAGGAGCGATCTCTCAAGAAAATAAGAAGAAAAATAAAAAATAAGGTAAAATATCATTTTTAAGAAGATTTGTACAGTGTACACAAGTATGTTTCATGTTCATTCCTATTTCTAAGTTTTGTTGCCAAATTGTCGGAATTCTATAAAGGATGCACCATCTTGGATATTATCAAGTAAAGCCATAACAAAATTGCAATTTTAATGCTAATTTTTATCTGCAATGCTAAAGAAATGTACACTCAAACACTATGTTACTCATTTTCAATTCTAAAATATCGTATGGATTTATTTTGCCACAAAATGGTGTTTCCTTCTGGAAATCCCTTTTTCATGATTTCTTTTTGTTTAAATTAATATTTGTATTTCAGATTTCCGCACAAGAAAGCCGACGGAAGAAGAAAGAATACATGGATAGCTTAGAGCGGAAGTATGATATAATGCAAAGTGAAGCCAACTCCTGGAAAAGCAAGGCAGAAGCGCTTCAAGCTCAGAATGCCGCGCTCGCGAAACAAGTTTCTGAACTTCAACAAAAACTTAACATGGCGACTAAAACCGGTTCTGAAATATCCTTTATTCTTCCTGAATCTATTGATCTAGAAGAAAACATACTCCAAGGTGAGCCCTCAACCCTTAGCAAACAATTAAAAAAGCATGATGAAAATATTTGTCTTTGAAAACTCAACAAAATAATATTTTTCAGGAAAAAATCGAGTTTCTGAATTTCAAGAGTTGACAGCTAACTGTTTAGATATCGACGTCGATTAATTGATCGAAAATCGAAATTTGAGCAAAATGACTCAAGTGTAAGTATTCTGGTCCTGCAAATAGAAATCAAGTAACGACGAGTTTAAATAATGAATGAAATGGATCTCTTAAATATTAAATAATATAAACACTAAACAATTTACATGTGCCTTTATCGGTGATTAACGAGTGAAGAAAAAGGGAACTACCTCTCACCCTTTATCACATGACCATCATTTTATATGATCATGAAAGTGCATTTTTTATTTTCTCTCTTTGTTTCGTACATGTGCAATGTAAATCTAATGAACCGCCATCTTTTTTTACAATGACAAGTTTCAGTTTGGAACATTTAGCATTTTAACATATCAATCACGTGTAAGCTGTTGTATTGAACATTTTTAGCATAAGAAGTACCTTTCAATTGGACCATAAAAACCGCATTTAAAATCAACGAAAATCTTTAATGAATGTGACTTTATTCTAACTTCGGGCTTTTTGCATTTAAACTTGTGAATTTATTTGACGTTTGGTAATTTTCTAATTACCATGTTAGAACAATGTAATTACGTATGTATTTGTTTGTAAAAAAAAACAAATTTTTGTTATCCTATTATAGATTATTAGGTAAAAATTAAGAAAATTATTTTGATATTTGTAAGTTTGAATTATATATTTTGTTATTTTCACAATAGCCTACGCAAAAATTGTAAATACTAAGTTGTTCATTTCTTTTGAAAATGGAAAATTGCGAATTTTCTTGCACAGTTTTTCAATTGTTAATAATTTTTAAAAAATTCCAATTCTTTTCATGTTTTCAACGCAAGTCAATGGACGGCTGTGATAGGTGTGTGCATTTTCAATTTTCATCACTTTTAAAAATCTTAATCACCTGTACATCATTCAATCATGTACACGCATTTTTCACACTTAAAGGGACTGTTCATGTAACAATTCAAGTGATCCGGCGTTAATAGAGTGTCATTCACAAAAGCACCATAAAAACATTCAAGTTTAATGAAAACGCAGAAATCCTTTTTCTTTTAGCTGAAAACTAAAGACTCCATGGTAGTGGGCCCTCGATTTATGTTATCGTTGATCATACAAAGGTTGAAGACACCATTTTATCTCGGACATGCCACTCTAAAATTTTAGGGTCTCTTGAAAATGCGTCCACAGTGCCTTTAAACATTTATAGCTAAGACTAAGAACTCAATTTTTTACTTTTTCCTTTAAAATTCAGCGTGTGGGAAATTATTAAAGATAACTGTAAACTTTAAATACATCACAGTTGAAACTATCACTGTTAAAATGATGTAAAACAGATCGCCTAGAAACCTTTGATTACGAACAGTTTACTAGTTTATTCAGAACGTTATCATTAAATTGTTTATATTGAAACTAGAAACAAATAATTGAATTTAGTAATATGTTAATTCTTGATTTTAATTTAGTTCTTTTTTGTTCATATATTGCGCAGCTTGTTTTAAATTGTAAATGTATTTAAAACCCAACCCCTGGACATGAAAAGTGAATGGTGAATTATTTTTGTATTATGAATTTTCATTTCCCAGGGGGGAGGTTCACCTGCTTGTTTTTGCTCATAGCACACGTGTTTTTTTTCATCAAAACACTGTACATTGTACATACACAAATATTTTCTTCCTGTTAAACGAACCAGATGTACATACAATAGAAATCCTAATTTGTTTGTCCATTGTACAGTTATGTACAGTATATAGTAACTAGTGGTGTACAGAATCGTAGAAGTGTACAGCTTTACACAGTGTACAGCGCTGTACAATACCTTTTCAGACCTTTAAGTTCACATTCTTCACCTACAGATTTGATACCTGACACATCTGTGCAATTGAACAGTACGTGCAGTTCAATGCACAGTACTCTGCACATTAATATGCTGTATAGTGTACAGTGTACAATACACTGATGTACTTTGTACGGTACACTGATTAAAGTAAACGGTGCAATGCTTTACAGTGTGCTTTAAACTGATGTACAGTGTAGAGTGCATTGTTGGACAGTGTGTACAGTGAAATTTGTACATTTTACATTTTACAGCAGTACATGTTGTTTATCACAACGCACTGTGGTCCTGTTTTGTGTGTTGTGAATTTACGTACTTGATAAATATATAATATGAAAAGATCTGGTTCAAATCTACTGCTTCTACAGGTGGAATTAAAATTTATCTGTTGATATCACCATATTTCGTACGAAGTGGCGGCATTTTTGATTCAAATCTAGTTGTTATATATTTTAACTTATTCATCTCCATTGGGAGGGGGACATCATATCTTTAGAATTTCGGGAAAAAATTAAATCCATTTTTAATTACATTCATTATAAAAACTTAGATGTATTTTTATTTGATTTTTACCCGTTGATCTTTTATCCATTATACCTAATCCCCCCCCCCTCTCTAAGGGATAATTTTTCACTACAGGGGGTTTAGAATTTTTAGACAAAATCAAGAGTTAAACATATAGTGATGTACATGCCATTTTGAATATGGAATTGTTTACTTAAAATTGTGTATTAGAAATAATTAATACATTATCATTTATGTACTTAATATTGTGAGCATCAGACTCTGTACATAAAATATGTTCATCAGATTATGTACATTAGACTCCGAACACAAATTATGTACTAAACTTTATGTACTTAATTAAAACTTTTTTATTTCTTGATTGTCTAATTTTTCTGTAACCTTAAGCTCACAGATCAGACAGATATAACTATAAGTCGGTAACTTTTTAACCCTTGAAGTGTATTTTAATTAGTTCTCATCTCAAAACATAAATATTGACATATTGATTAGATCAAAGTTATGATTGAAGGGAGCTGAACAGGTTATGATGCACAAAAGTAACCTAACTTTTACCAAGGCCATATTTATTGTTTTATCTGTGTAATCTGTGTTTGTACGCAATCTACATTCGGACCCATCCAACTATGGAAATGGAAGACGACTGTTATGATTTTAAACAGCCCAATGAACATGAAACACAAAACTTCTTTTCTCTTAATAACTTGATTTTTAAGCTCCTGGTAAAACTATTAGTTTTCTAACAACAACAAATAAGCGATTTAATGTCGTCTTCTTATTTCACAGTTTTAGGGGTTCCACTGTTTAGTAATTTATATAAAGCTGGATGGCTGGCTGGAGAATAGGTAACGTATCTGTGACGAGTTTATCCCTTTCAAGTTTTAGGGGACAAACCTGTTTTATTTGTTTTGATTTCTGCTGTTATTGTTTTCAAATTAATTAATTGTTTTTAAAATATCGTTTATACGTTGAAATGGCAAATATAAGTGTTTTATTTATGTTTTTTATTAAGAAAACTTCAGTTACAGCTTACAGATAATAATAAATAGAAAACTTCAGAATTACAGCTTACAGATAATAATAAATAGAAAACTTCAGTTACAGCTTACAATAATAATAAATAGAAAACTTCAGCTACAGCTTACAGATAATAATAAATAGAAAACTTCAGCTACAGGTTACAGATAATAATAAATAGAAAACTTCAG